ACAAATGAAGTTGTCAGTTCTTGTGTAAACTGAAACAACTAATGGAGATGTACCATATTTTCGGACTATAAGTCGCTTCAGAGTATAAGTCGCACCAACCAAAAAATGCATAATGAAGAAGGAAAAAACATATATAAGTCGCTCCGGTGGATAAGTCGCACCAGCCAGCTAGAGTGCCCTCTAGCGGCTGTCAGTGTAAAAATAGTAAACATGCTAATTTTCTGTGGTACAGGAGTAGCAGATGCAAACATGCTAATTTTTCAGCAGTAAAGGAGTAGCAGATAGTGGTACACAAGCCTAGAGTGCCCTCTAGCGGCTGTCAATGTGAAAACAACAAACACATGAAATTATATATTTTAATATATAAGTTGCACCTGAGTATAAGTCGCAAACCCAACCAAAGGATGAAAAAAAAGTGTGAATTATATTCTGGAAAATTCAGTACTTTGATCATTTTATTGATCCCGTACTCTTGAAATTCTAGCAGCAGATCTACTGCAGTATGTATGTGCAGTATGGGAATCGAACCTTGAACTATCTGCTCCTGAGGCAGGCATGCTACACCATGGAACACCTATCACCATATATACCTAATGTATCCTACCATTGACGAAGACAGCAAATCTCAGAAATGAAAGGTATCGTTCTCCTTCGATGGGGTTCCAACCAATATCTGGGTAACCTTTGGCCAGAAGCATTGGGCAGCTCTGGAGACCACACCCCGCCAGGTACGTGACCACCTGTTGGTACAGCGGGCACATGACATCACACTTTGTAATCCATAATCTAGTTCCACTTTTAATTTCACTCTTTACTTCATTTGAGGCAGTTAAAGAGTTAATAAGGGGGGGGGGATGAGGGGGAGATGATCAGACCTTGTCCAGATCTGGTTCCTCCAGCGCCAGAGCCAGGCCGTTGTTGTCCATCACTGACGAAGCGGCGACATCTAGTGGAGTGGAGCCCCTCATGGATGGTGAAGCTGAAGCACAGAGAGCACTCATTGATTTCCAAATGGCTAGCATGTTACCAGCCAGCAGGGGGTGGCGTTTCCACTCTTTATAAAATAGTTGATATTTTTAATTTTATGGTTAAAATCTATTATGTTTTTTTATTTTTTTATTCTTTGCTTACACTGTTAAGCTCTATTATGTCTTTCTTTTTTATTCTTTGCTTACACTGTTAAGTAATTTGTAGCGAGGCTAATGAGCAATCAGTGAAGACGTCTACATATGTGTGTGTGTGTGTGTGTGTTTGGCCAACGCGCTTTTCTGCGTGGGCGCAATCAGGGCAGATGCTCTCTCGGCTCAGTGGGGCGCTCACCAAGACTGTGGCATCTTCTAACAGAACGTGAGATGACTCACTCACTTTGCTGATAGACACTCAGAGCTGAGACTCACAAATACACAGTCATTTTCTGAGCCGTGAGACTAATGACTGTGAGCTTGTGCTGCAGAGGAAGTCTAATGGCTGCTCGTGTGTCTCAGCACATTTTTGTAAATACCCCATTTCTTGTCATTATGAATGCCTGAGGTGGTAACGGACGTGGGTCTCGGCAACACTTGCACAACAGGAGTGTAAACCTTCTTCGCTGGCATCGGATTTGAACAGGCGACCGACTGTTTGATACTTTTCAATAATTATTGCACTGTGCCTTTAAGAAAATTGATATATTTTATTTGTTTGGCAATAAAAATAGAAATAAACTAAGAAATGTTTCGCTTATTTTGACAAATTTACAGCTAGAACCTCATTACTTTAAACCAGTGTTTCCTATATTTTAAAAGTCACAAACCTTCGCGACCCAAGTCGATGGACATTTTTCGTAAACTCCTGGGAAACATGATGCGAGACGACCCAAAAAAAATCTTTCGCGACCCACCTGAAGGTCGTGTCCCAGTCTTTGGGAAACAATACTTTAGTATGCTATGCATCCACATAAGCTAAGTCATGTGGCCTACAAGTGTTCATACAAAATAAGTATGAAGTCTGAGCACCAGAATACAAGTGTTCATACAAAAAAAATAAGTATGAAGTCTGAGCACCAGAGGTCACTAAACTGTGTGTCGACAAATGTGATGATTACTCACCAAGACCTACGCTGCTGTTCTCCAACAAGTAACTGAGGTGGTCAAACATGGCCTTCTGGTTCTGGCGACTGATCCGGCAGAAGTAGCAGAGAAAGCGACAACAACTGGCCACCATCTTCGGGAAGGCAATTTCCTGTTAGGGTGACCAAAAAAAAAAAAAAAAAAAAAACCACAATAAAAACAATTATACATTCGGTCCGTAGAAAAGAGTTTGGGCTTACTGTCAGAATTAATTCCAGCAATTACGACGCCCTAAGCAAATATTGTTGTTTGGCGCCCCCTGCCTCTAGGAAAAGCAACATTTTTTTGTATTTGTAAAAGTTCTTATAAGGAAAGAGCCCCAACCGGTGCTGCGGATTATTATTCCTTTTCATTTTTTGTTTTTCTAAAGGACAACCAGCACCGCTCCCCGCTCTACCCCTCCCACTCCAGCAGATGGTGCATTGCCAAGAGTTGGCTGCTCCGCCTGCCTCTACAACATCCTCAGGCCTTTGATACTAACAATGTCTATACATATCTTTGTTCCTAATTAAACTCTAGCAAGTCTGACACCGTCACACACCGTCTGCCCACCCACAACGCCACCTTTTTACGACCTCAGCCTCAGACTCACCCTGAGAAGTGAGACATACGTCTTCATTAATGCACCTTCACCACATAGCTAGACATCACAGGAACGAGGAAATGTCATTTTTGACAAAGGTGTTGCTGTGAGCGCTGCAGCATCCAGTGAAAACAGAAATAAATATAGAGAAAGATGTTGAAACCTGGGATTTGTCTCCTCCGAGGACATTGACCATGACCTCCATGACAGTCTCGTGCATGCCCAGTATTCTCATTAGATTGGGGTGTTGGTAGAAGACCTTGTTGTTCATGATGTCACTGCCGAGATAAAGAAAGAGACATGAATGCTAAATGAGCAAACGGGGCAAAATTAAACGTCTAGAAACGAAGTCCAGCTCAGGAACCCACCCGAGTCCGTCGATCATTAGCTTCTCCTCTTCTTTTCCCATGCGGACGGACAACAGTGATCGGATCTGACCCAGGGAGGCCAGGAGGTTGATGGTGTCCTGCACTGAAGCAGCACTGATGGTGTAGGCCTTCCTCATGGCACGAAGCAGTTCCCCGATGCTGTCGTACTGTCTTCTCAGCAGGCTGAACATCTTACGGACGAGCTCCGAGTCCTGGACGTGGCACTCCTGGGCCCAGCTGACCATGGTCTGGGAGATCAGTTCCTTCAGATTGGCTGGAGGCACAGATACATTCATGACAGTGGTACTATTTAAAAATCATATCCAGGATCAAACTTGGACTAAGACGTAGATACAGCAGTGATCAAATCAATCATCACTTTATTCAATACACTTGAACATATCAGCGTAGTGTTCAACTAAACAGGCCCGGGTTCACAATGAATCAGTATTTGTTTGTGTCTCTTTTTTTTTAGGTGGTCCACTGCAGGATTGCGGGGAAAAAAAGTTGAGAAACACTCCCTGAGGATACGTAGGTACAACGTGGCCATGGGATAGAACTGAACAACTGGTCCTTATGGTACACACTGTGTGGTTAATATCTGGACCTGTTAACTGGGTCTCAAATGGAAGCAGTAAATGGAAGAAAGCTACATGTGTTAGATAGATAGATGGATGGATGGATGGATGGATGGATGG